ATTCATATGTGATCTTAATTTTTCATAGGTGATCTTAGTTCTTTTACTAATGCCTCTCAGGTCTCCAAGTGTGAACCTGGGGTGACATTGTGAAAGGAATGACCCTAAGTCCTCTGTCACATCTGTGTAAGGGCTGCTGGAGGGCGACTCAGCTGTGTGGCAGTGCCAGTGCTGGGAAAGCACCCACTGTTTAGCCAGCTAGGGAAGGAGATGTCCAAAGATGGCTGAGACGTCTCCTTCCTCGAGGGAGTGAAGAGAAAACTCCGCTTCTCCAAGCTCTTCTGGTAGGCCTGACGGCTGTCAGGTAAGTCCACAGATATCTGGGGGCTTAATGGTCTCTAGGTGACGCTTTACTTCAGTGGTCACATTCCATGTCCACGCTCAGGATCCGCTTCTGCACCTGGTTTCTTTATTCTTAGAGGAGATAATCAGTAAAAGTAATATAAATCTTAATGTCTTTGTTCTTTCTGGACAAGTATGAAAAAGTGCTGGACCCTATACTTCTTCTGCGGCCAAAGAAAATCTCAGTTCTTCATTTCTCTGCCAGGTGTTTCAGCAGGTTGTGGAAGCTGGATGGATTTCTGCTTAGCCCGGTTATGTCTAGAAGTTTGTAGGGTCCAGCCCTTCAGGGTCCTTTGAGCCCCTCTCTGCTGGTGTGGAGACGAGAAGCTACAGAAATAAAAGACACGAGACACAGAGACAGAGAAAAGAGAGTTTGGGCCCGGGGGTCCACTGCCAACCAAGGCGCGGAGCCCAGCAGTGGCCCCCAGTGTCCTCACACTCTGACTTTTATTGAGTGCAAAGCTGGGGGCAGAGTAGGTAGGGCGTGGCATTGGTGGTCAGTGATAGGGTCAAGGACGTTACGTGTCTTACAGGCAGGGGCCCAAGGCTTTCTAGTAGCCGAGAGGAGGTAAGGAGCATAATGCGGCAGCACTTTTCCATACCTGTTAAGAAAGAACAAAGACATTAAGATTTATATCACTGTTACTGATTATCTCTTCTAAGAAAAAAGGAACCAGGTGCAGAAGCACAGCATGAGAGTGGACATGGGAGGTGACCACTGAAGCACAGCATCACTCGGAGACAATGAAGCCCCCGATGTCTGAGGGCCTATCTGACCGCCGTCAGGCCGACCGCAAGAGCTTGGAGGAGCGGAGTTTTCTCCTCACTCCCCCGAGGAAGGAGAGGTCTCGGCCAACTCGAACGTCTCCTTCCCTAGCTGGCTAAACAGCAGGCGCTTTCCCAGCGCTGGCGCTGACACGTAGCCTAGGCGGTCTCCAGCAGCCCTTACATGGGCGTGACACAGGGCTTAAAGCATCTTGCAATAGGGTCATTCCGTTCACGATGTCACCCCAGGTTCACACCTCAAGACCTGAGAGGCATTAGTAAAAGAACTAAGATCACCTATGAATATTAATAAGTAAGATTACCTATGAATAACTACTATGGTGATATCTCTAGTTATTTTCTTCTTCACTATTTATATGGAAATA